CAAACTAGGCTGCTTATGTTGAAGTGTTCGGGATGTGGTTTTTAATGATGAGACCTTTTTTGTAATCAGGCTCTCAAAAAGTATATAAAAATTTGGATATAGATTTATCGGCCAACATATCGGTTATCGGCTTTCAAAAATAAAGGATTATCGGTTATCGTATCGGCCAAAATTTTCATATCGGTGCATCCCTAAATAAAAGCATTCCTTTATTGTGTTGCGCCTGGTTAAAACTAGTTAGATTTGTAGAGTAAATTCCCCTAATAGCTAACTGATTAACAATAAAAAATAAAAACACAAAAATATTTAAAATTATATTTGTACATCATTCAAAAGTTTAAGGTCAATAGGATTTTACTATTTAAGAAATTCATACTTTTATTCATCAAGGATGCATTGCATTGATCAAAAATGGCACTAAAGACAAATATAATGCTATAAAAGATCTCCATTTCAAATAAATGCTGTTCTTTTGATTCCTGAAAAAAATTCAAAGAATCCACAAAAAATATTAGGCAGCACAATGGTTTTCAATATTGATAATAATAAGAAATGTTTCTTAAGAAGCAAATCAGAATGTTAGAATGATTTTTGAAGGATCATGTGACACTGAAGACTGGAATAATGGCTGCTGAAAATCCAGCTTTGCCATCACAGAATTAAATTACATTCAAAAATATATTAAAATGGAAAATATGCAGCTTTGATGAGCATACACTCTTAAAAATAAAGGTGCTTCAAAAGGTTCTTCACAGCGATGCCATAGAAGAACCATTTTTGGTTCCACAAAGAGCCATTCAGTCAAAGGTTCTTTAAAGAACCGTCTCTCTCTTACCTTTTTATAATCTGAGGAACCTTCTTTCGCCACAAAGAACCTTTTGTGAAACAGAAAAGTTCTTCAGATGTTAAAGGTTCTTTATAGAACCATCTAGACAAAAAGGTTCTGTAGCGACACAGCTCATGGGAAATATGAATAATTAACCATAACTAGTTATAATTAATTATGAATATTTTAGATCCGCTGTAGATATTTAGCTGACCTCTCAGGGTCAACTGTCTTGTCAATTCTAAGAACGTTAACTTCCTGGTTAAAGGAAATAACTTTCTTACTGTACAATTCTAAAAAAGCTTGTAGCATAAATCTGCATGATTAACTGACTCCAGTTATAAGCAAACAATGAACCACGTCAAGTGTGATACAAGTAAGGTTTTATTAACTACATAAACACTTAAACTAGTCTAACATACTACATAAACACATTAAGCCGGTCTAACATACACATACACACACACACACACATACAGTTGGTATAGGAAAGGGTTAAAGCTTAACTCAGTACAGAAAAGAGACATAAGGAATGAAATTTATGAAACCATTTGCATATTCAGCAGATCTACACCTGAGGGAAACATCAAATTCTTAGTTCAAGAAAGGTGTCACTGATACATAATGTATCAATTAATAAGACTAAGTTTGATACTTGCAAGGAGTGGCTTCACAACAACTCTGTGACTGTTCTTGAATGGCCCAGCCAGAGCCCTGACTTAAACCCAATTGAGCATCTCTGGAGAGACCTAAATATGGCTGTCCACCAACGTTTACCATCCAACCTGACAGAACTGGAGAGGATCTGCAAGGGGGAATGGCAGAGGATCCCCAAATCCAGGTGTGAATAACTTGTTGCATCTTTCCCAAAAAGACTTATGGCTGTATTAGATCAAAAGGGTGTTTCTACTAAATACTGAGCAAAGGGTCTGAATACTTAGGACCATGTGATATTTCAGTTTTTCTTTTTTAATAAATCTGCAAAAATGTCAACAATTCTGTGTTTTTCTGTCAATATGGGGTGCTGTGTGTACATTAATGAGGAAAAAAAATTAACTTAAATGATTTTAGCAAATGGCTGCAATATAACAAAGAGTGAAAAATGTAAGGGGGTCTGAATACTTTCCGTACCCACTGTATATTGCCTATGTACCAATATATAATATACACGCTTGTTTCGATCATAAGAAGGCGAACTCATAGATACTAAGCAAGGTAGGATTACATATAGTGAAAGGATGACAGGAGTGTGTTTCGATTATAAGCCTGCATCACAGTATACAATTTCAAAGACAAAATACACAATGACAATAATATACCCAATGACCTGAAGGATCATGTGTGTTCATTCAAAGAAAGGTTTTCCTATTAATTAATTAATTAGCAAAGAAAAATCCTTCCCTTGTGGATTTTCCTTAAGGGCAAGGAAGCGATTTTCTTCACCTAAATTCCAGGAGGTCGTAAATGTATCGGGTGTCAGCATTGCTATGGAACCAGGGGCCTGTTCAGCTTCCTGGGGTGTTACAGAGTATTTGTTAAATCTAGCTAACAAAATATATATTGTGTGTTTGAGTGGTCCAGACGCTACAGTTCTTATATAGCATCGTGAAGCGCCTTTATTTTTAAGAGTGTAAGAGTCGGTTTTCAAAAGCATTAAAATATCTACAGACCCAAACGTTCGAACAGTAGTAGATATGCGCAATATGTATTATCTGCGGTAAGTGTTAATTGTCAGGAATAAATTTAGTCTTACTCTTTAAAAAGGCTTTGTCAACTAGATTTCAAAAGAAAATGGAATACAATTAAAAACCCAATCAGATGATAATAAAATATTGTGTCAGAAAGATTCAAAGAATTGTTGACAAGACTGAAAATACCCAAATACTTTAAATCCTTAACAAATAAATAATACTTGATAAGAGAGAATGAAAATGTCATTATAAAGTGCAGAAAAATGGCATGAGAGTATATCTAGTAAGAAGGATAATTGCAACAGAGAATACTGAAGAACTGGGAACCCTGTAATGTTCAACTCAAGTTTCCATAATAGGTGTCGATTTCTATTCATCCTCATATCCAACCAATGTTCTAATTAGGCTCTGATTCCACTCGCAGCGCAAAATCTAATCAGCACTAATCTCGACTAAATGCAAAATATTGAATGATTCATTTTTGACCAGAATAGAATCCCATTTAAAAAATAACAGCCTGAAATTGAATGTGACACATCTCCAATCGCAAACATGTCACACGCAGACTACTCAGTGCAGCTGCGTTTATGACAGACACCAGACACAACATGGTGTCATCCTTCTACCATGAGTGACTCTTTTATGTGATTGCTGTGGACAGCCACCTAGACAAGACAGGAGGTGACATTATCAAGCTTTCTTCAATTCTTTGAGTCGCCTGCCACCAACGACACTGTAGCGGTACGGCAAAGTAACTGTGGGGTAAATTCAATCGGAGGAGGGTTAGGTGACAGGTTCAATCAGTCACCACTTGATTGTGCCTTTTCTTAGATTGAGGTCTGGAGGTGAGATGAAAAATAACACAGTAATTTGTTTCTGAAGCATTGCTGTTAGGTCTCTAAAACTCCAAGTGCCAATATCTTGAAAGCCCAATAGCAAATAGAAAGCAAGATGTTCACTCGATGATTGCTTTCACTGCGTCATTTTTTTTTTCTTGAGCAGTTCAAATTTATGAATCAACATTTCTTTCTTGCTTTGAGATAAATACTAACCATCCTCACTGTTGATCTGTCAGAGTTAATCTACTTTACACAAGCACTCTAGCTTCAAACAACTCCACTTTAAAGCAGATTTGAGGGAGGTGGTTTCACAAAATCCATATGATTGCGCAATTCATCTCTGGTGCATCACTGCCAGGTGTAATGTGGAAATCTTTACATCCCATTCTGCTATTAATCTATTTTATTTCTAATGTGAATCTACTGGTTTCATGCTGCAACTGGATGTTCACAGGGTATTGATCTTTTATAAAGAAACAATACCACTAAAGGATGACCATCAATGGCTTTGATGAACGAAACCTCAAGGCAACCGACAGGATTACACAAAACCTGCTTAAGTCTGTGTGCTGCATGTCAAGATAGAGGAAGTAGGATAGATAGGGAGTGTGCGTTTCCTTTTCAGAGATCTAACATAATATATAGTATAAACACACTGTTACCCAGAATACTGCAGCTGACAGTTCAGAAGATACCACTATAAAACATCAGTGAACTCGCTGACAGGACTGGAAGGGAAGACCCATACAGCACACTGGCATTACAAGAACGTTTAGACAGAATTAGCTTCATATTGGACAGAATTTGCTTATTTGGTGCCAGTCATACATTTCACTATGACATTTGTATCAATAAATCAAAATGTCAAATGCATAGTATTTCATTTCACAAATAATTTTAAGGCGCTTCTAATGAGAATCACCTAATAGAGCACAGCAGTCTGGTTTTGGAAATTTCCAGAGAAATTGTGTCGTAACGATTCTGTATAAATCTTTCAAGAGAGACCTACCATGAGCTCCACAATTGTTAAGCAATGATATATGCTTCTGTACAAGCTATTTCTTTAAAAAGAAATATTAAAAGAAAAAAAACAACAACAACGTAGTAGCCACATTCACAGTGAAGTACAACACTATTCATATACCAATCAGTTGTATTACTGTAATAGAATTCTCATCACAAAAACTCAGCAGCGATTGTACTCAGGAAGTTTGGAAATTATGTAAACAAAGAAGTCTATACACTACACACATTATATATTAATACTTAGCCAAAAATAAATAAATAAAAAGTAAATTAATTTAAATACAATATCATACCTTTGTCTTTCTTTAATTTTTTTTCTTTAAAGTCTATGTTGTGATACATCTCAAAGCTAGTTGTTTTGGTTCACAACCTCTTCATTGAAGTTTCTTTGGATACTCCAGTGAAGAAAATACATCTGAAAAAAAACACACCCAGAACCAAGGCAGCTGGGAAAAGTGGACGGTCACTGTTACTATGCTCCATAGGGGATTATTACACTTTTCACTTGAAGAAAAAATATATACAGTGGGGAAAAAAAGTATTTAGTCAGCCACCAATTGTGCAAGTTCTCCCACTTAAAAAGATGAGAGAGGCCTGTAATTTTCATCATAGGTATACCTCAACTATGAGAGACAAAATTAGAAAAAAAAATCCAGAAAATCACATTGTAGGATTTTGCCAGAGAGCCAAGATCATTCCTATCTACCTCAGACATCAGTAGATATCATATTTATCAGTCAAATAACCCCATAAAGTGACTGCTTAAATAAGCTAAAAGATTCAGCAAAGCGCTCTGTGTTGTGTCAGTCAAATTTTATGTTCTGTGAGTCTTATTTACTGTTTGTCTAAAAGATGCTTATTTCCATGTTTCCATCCTTCCCATTCACAGGAAGTTCCTGAGGTTTGCTTTCAGGGGCAAAGCTTACCAATATTGAGTTCTTCCTTTCGGCCTAGCACTCTCACCCCACACTTTCACGAAGTGTGTGAATGCTGCTCCTGACTTCCCTTCTTGACGGCTCTCCATGGGAGATTCCCATCAGGAGGGATCGCCTCTCACAGGCGAAGGGTATGATTCTCCACCCCCGCAAAGCTTACCAATATTGAGTTCTTCCTTTCGGCCTAGCACTCTCACCCCACACTTTCACGAAGTGTGTGAATGCTGCTCCTGACTTCCCTTCTTGACGGCTCTCCATGGGAGATTCCCATCAGGAGGGATCGCCTCTCACAGGCGAAGGGTATGATTCTCCACCCCGCCCGGTGCTGTGGAAATTATGGGTGTGGCCTGTGAGGGGGCACAACTCGTAGCTTCCGGTCTCACAACCGAGGTTGTTGAAACCATCCTCCAATCTAGAGCTCCCTCTACGAGGAAACTGTATGCCTTGAAGCAGAAACTTTTCACTTTCACTTTCTGACAATTGAGACTGTCCTTCTTCTGGCTAATACTTCTCTAAAAAGAGTTGGGGATCTTCAGGCCCTCTCAGTGGCCCCTTCTTATCTGGACTTTGCGCATGGCCAAAGTGTTTCTCTACCCTCGTGCGGGGTATGTCCCTAAGGTTCCCTCTGTTACACCACAGCCTATCATGAATAATTAACCATAACTAGTTATAATTAACTATTCATATTTTAGATCCACTGTAGATATTTAGCTGACCACTCAGGGTCAACTGTCTTGTCAATTCTAAGACGTTAATTTCCTGGTTAAGGGAAATAACTTTCTTACTGTACAATTCTATAAGTTTGTAACGTAAATCTGCATGATTATTGACTCCGGTTATGAGTAAACAATGAACACGTCAAGTGTGATACAAGTAAGGTTTTATTAACTACATAAACACTTAAACTAGTCTAACATACTACATAAACACATTAAGCCGGTCTAACATACACATACACACACACACACATACAGTTGGTATAGGAAAGGGTTAAAGTTTAACTCAGCATAGAAAGAGGCATAAAGAATGGATTTTATGGAACACTTTGCATGTATATTCAACAGATCAAAGCCTTCAGGGATACGTCAGATTCTGAGTTCAAACACACCTTTGTAAAAAGGTGTAACTGATACTTAATGTATCAATTAATAAGACTAAGTTTGATACTTAGCGAGTCTCGGCGGTCTGAAAGAGATTCCTGATGCAAATCTTAAAGCTTCCCGTAGATCTTTGCTGAATTCGGGTCGATGAGAAGAACCAGTTTGAGTCAGTGTTACTTGATGAATGGAAAGGACTAGGCCGAAGAAAGGCCTGGCACAGATGCTTTGTATCCTGAAGCGTTTTTCTCACATCATCTTTGCTTCTGACTGAATCACCGACTGGGGCGGGTCCCTGGAGCCGGGCCTTTAAGGTCGGAGAAGATCTCCGCCTTTCAAGATGGGCTTGTCCAATGAGCAAAATGGAATTTCCGAGCGGGAGGTGGCAATTGCTGGAGGGTTTACGACCCTTTGTTCTCTAAGCATGGTAATTTGCAAATGGATTTAAATCGAAATTATTAACGATTCTCAGGGCCCTAATATATATTGCCTATGTACCACCATATAATATACCCGCTTGTTTCGATCATAAGAAGGCAAATTCATAGATACTAAACAAGGTAGGATTACATATAGTGAAAAGGGAGGATCAGGAATGGGTCCTCTCACAAGCATACTAAAATAGTCTAAGAATATCAAAGACAAAATACACAATGACAATAATATACTCAATGGCCTGAAGAAATATGTGTGTTCATTCAAATAACGGTTTTTCTATGAATTAACTAGAACACAGTCCATTTCTACTCTGCTTTTCCTTGGGACAAGCAGGGATTTTCCATTTACATACTTTTGGCCAATAAACCCAGTGATATCAGCGTTGGTTGCCATGCAACAAAGTGGCCTGTTCGACTTCCTGGGGTGTTACGCATTCCAGGGGGAAGGGTCCATGGGTCCTCATATGGCTTGTTAACTGAGGTTACAGAGTATTTGTCATATAAAAAGAGAATATATAGTGTGTATTATTACACACAGATGCTACACGCCAGAGAGCCAAGATCATTCCTATCTACCTCAGACATCAGTAGATATCATATTTATCAGTCAAATAACCCCATAAAGTGACTGCTTAAATAAGCTAAAAGATTCAGCAAAGCGCTCTGTGTTGTGTCAGTCAAATTTTATGTTCTGTGAGTCTTATTTACTGTTTGTCTAAAAGATGCTTATTTCCATGTTTCCATCCTTCCCATTCACAGGAAGTTCCTGAGGTTTGCTTTCAGGGGCAAAGCTTACCAATATTGAGTTCTTCCTTTCGGCCTAGCACTCTCACCCCACACTTTCACGAAGTGTGTGAATGCTGCTCCTGACTTCCCTTCTTGACGGCTCTCCATGGGAGATTCCCATCAGGAGGGATCGCCTCTCACAGGCGAAGGGTATGATTCTCCACCCCCGCCCGGTGCTGTGGAAATTATGGGTGTGGCCTCTGAGGCGGGGCTCGACAGTGCGACCATTTCAGTCGCATTTGCGACTGAAAACTACTGCGTGCGACTATGAAATTGCCCGGTGCTGTGGAAATTATGGGTGTGGCCTGTGAGGGGGCACAACTCGTAGCTTCCGGTCTCACAACCGAGGTTGTTGAAACCATCCTCCAATCTAGAGCTCCCTCTACGAGGAAACTGTATGCCTTGAAGCAGAAACTTTTCACTTTCACTTTCTGACAATTGAGACTGTCCTTCTTCTGGCTATTACTTCTCTAAAAAGAGTTGGGGATCTTCAGGCCCTCTCAGTGGCCCCTTCTTATCTGGACTTTGCGCATGGCCAAAGTGTTTCTCTACCCTCGTGCGGGGTATGTCCCTAAGGTTCCCTCTGTTACACCACAGCCTATCGTGTTACAGGCCTTTTGTCCTCCTCCCTTCAGGGAGCCTGACCAGCAGAAGCTGCGAGCACTGGACACATACATCCACAGAGCTGCCCTGTGGAGAAGGGTGGACCAACTGCTTGTATGCTATGGTCCCCCTAATAGGGGTCTCCCTGCTATGAAGCAGACACTCAGTCGGTGGATAGTTGATGTCATTACTCTTGCCTACGAGTCCTCTGATCTCCCCTCGCCTTTGGAGGTCAATGCTCATTCGACCCGAGGTATGGCTGCCTCCAAGCCCTTCTTAGCAGGTGTGTCTATGCAAGATATCTGCAACGCAGCGGAATGGTCCATGCCCCTCACATTTGTCAGATTATATGACTTAGATATGCAAGCCACTCCTAGCTCTTCTGTTCTCTCGTCTTAGCTGTGGTCTTCCAGACTAGACTGGGATTTGCAAGTCTGGCGGCGTGGGCATTCTCGTTCCCATAGCTCAGCTCAAGTTCCTGAAAGGGAATGTCTCCAGGTAACGTATGTAACCATGATTCCCCGAAGGGAACGAAACTTCCGGCATCCCTGCGAGTGCTTGCTTCATTCCTAGAAGCTGACGCCGGTTCCACCTCACGTGCTTTTATAGTTTCCTGGTCGCTACATCACCCGCCTATGACGTCTCGCCCTTCCATTGGACTGATTACACATGTGATTCAGAGCATGGTCACGCTGGGGGCATTCCCATAGCGTTTCCGATGCAGCATTTTGTTCCCTTCGGGGAACCATGGTTATATACGTAACCTGGAGACATTTTTACTTATGCTGGGTCATCATATGTCAACCAACAACTGAAACCAAGTTAAGGCCCATTGCAAATGCAGGTGTGTGCAGGAAGAATAAGCAAGTAGTATAAGCATAACCGATTCAAATGGGCTCAGGTGATTTGCTTTGTGTGCTGTTTAAAACTTGCAGATTATGTGGTTTTCATTTAAGCTCAAAACTATCATTAAATAAATTAGAAAGCGCAGGTCAAGACGCGTTTCTGTTCTGTCCCGTACAACCTTCAAATTCAAGCAGGCATTTTCATCCACTTATTTATTTAAAGGCTGTTTTATTTAATCTAAGATGCTTATTCTGGGATTTGCAGCATCATGGAAGATTTCAGAAGTAACTCATTAAATTACAGCACAAGTGAAAACAATTCAAGCTGAACTTTTAACAGCACACCACAGCTTGACATGATGGTCTGTGACGCCGGCCTGCTGTGCTCTTTTCTCTCAATCATCGATTCAATGAAACACGAGCACATCTTGGAAAACCATGTAGTATATCAGTCACTAATTTTTGATGCAGCCCAAAGTTTATTTAACCTCAAGAAAATCACAACGTATTGACATCTTTTAGCTGTAAGTTTCTTGATTATATAATAAAATACATTATACTGGTAATTTGAATAGCATATGAGTTAAAAAGCTTATGATGCTTTGTGTCAGAGAATAATGACACCAGTCGTTTCCTCTACTCCTCTAGTATAGTTGTGTAATAACTGAAACATGAGCAAATTTGGACTATATTAGTGTTGATTTATTGACATTAATATGACTGGAAAAGCCACTATGTAATGATGTCTTCTAACTTCAAATTTCACCATTACATAACCAATTGCATCCTGCTCTAACAGCTCATGATATTATGGAACACAAGGTCATGTTATGCAGTAAGTTGTCTGTTACTTTTAATAAACGAACATGCCTGTGTTTTGTAGTAATTTAAGTAAGCATTCCTATAAAAGGGTGAAGTAGACTTTCAGAAACATGATCTGCACTTCTTTATTAATTATTACTTTATTCATTGGAATTGAATTCATTGTAACTATTAATTATATTATTTAAATTATATTATTAACTACATATTTTTAGACATACACTATCATTCACAATTTTGGGGTAAGACAAATGTTTTAATAATGTTTTAATAAATGTCTTAATTTCTGACTCTGAAGACTAATTCAGCTTTACCATCACAAGAATACATTCAATTTTAAAATATATTAAAATAGAAAACAGTTACTAATTTTTTTTTTCTATTTTACAATATTACTGTTTTATACTGTATTTTTCGATAGGAACATGAAAAAGTCACATTTAATTATGAGGGAATAAAAGAGCTGGATTTCCTCTTGTACTCTTGTACTCTTGTACTCTTGTACTTGCAAATCACTGATAAACTGAAACACAAGGTAAATTAAAACAGCATGAGTGAAAGAAATGCCTGGATATCTTGAGGTTATAACAACTGGCAAAAAACCCTATGCGCTCATGTCTTCCGACAGTAAACATCTCAATTACATAATGCAATCCAATTTGGTAATTTTCCAATATCATATAATACTGTGGACCGCAGAGCAATATACTTAACTATGAGAGAATGAATAGAGTTTGGACTTGCAGGCAGCTGGTTATATTCCCTCCTGTATTAAAAACCCCTACAAAATTACATCTTAAATTGCTGGCTCAGCAGTTAAGCCAAGACCAGATCGCCATTATTCACTCAGAAAGCGAAATTCTCTCTATTCCCACCTAATCGGAGCACATAGAGTGGAACCTGTGAACAGCTGGGGACCGTGGAGCCATTTAATACAGAAATAGTTTGTAATGCATCTCCCCACGCTTGCAGTCAAAATGCATCCTGCCACTCCAAAGAGAACACAATCAATATAACATAGCAAGCTATTGACCTGTGCATTGTTCAACAAAAACTGCAAAAGATGCAATTTTCTCAGAAACGGATGTGACGTGTCAACGCGTTTGCGTGTTGTCCACTAGCTTCTAAGTCTCCCTCATAAACAACAAATCAGGCAGATGCAGAAGGCCAATTCTATTAGCCGTGGAAACATTTTCTAGCAATGGATCCTGCTTTTACAATATTGTGAAGACGCTGCCTTTGATCTCTAGTACTAATGCCAAGGGCTTTACACTCGCGGAAGCCGACTTTGCTCTGTTCTGTATAGCTACCGATATTTTGCTATCCCAGTCTGTTGCTATATCTACAGAGCAACACTGCCAGTATTCCCAGGTGGCTTTATGATAGCCTCTCACTTTCAGCACTATCCCTGTAAGTATAAATTAGGGATGCATAGTTCAATGTGTAGTTGCTAATGGCCACAGCGCAACACTTTTTTTTCCCATACACCCCCAAGACCTTGGAAATGACACAAGTTCCTGGATTTCTTGGCACAAGGCATTTGGCTGGGAAACGAGAGAGTGCAGGCAGCTCTAGTCATTATTTCATTGTTTGTAGGCAGGCTGTGTGTTAATTAGATGCAAGGCGCAGCAAATGTTAAGGAGGATGTTAAGAGCCATAACCGGGCACAAGCAGCCAGAAGTAATGATCTACCAGGGGAGAATTTCCAGGGCAAAGTGGGAAAACAGTATCTTAAATAGGCACACAGCGAGTATATGAGCACCAGTCCCAACTTCAGAAAGCGTGCAAGAGGGGATCGGTCTGAAAACATCCAGGTTTTGGAAGGCAGACGGCCTAATGCGATCATCATAAACAAATGCTGCTCACAGTGGTTGGGCCACGGATCTCTGGAGAAGTAGCTTTATGTCTGCTAGACTCCAAAAATTGCAAGTAATTTTCTCATTTTGCAGATATAACTCGAGACCCCTCAGTGGACAGACTGCTATCTGAATTTGACAAGTGCTTCAAAGCTATCCGCTAAACTGAAACATCTGTCTTAACCATATTGTGCTTCAAATCAAATACAAAAAGAGCCTGTATTTTTCTATGTATGTGAAGATATGCACGGTGGAGTGGTGGGATTTGGTCACTATAAAGATAGTTGTCATGCATGATGTGTCTGAGGTTTTTGGTCTGCACATCACCCAAAGGATTCTGTCTGCTGCAAGAAAAAATTCACATTGGGCACAAAAGCGTCCTCTTATTCCCTTAAGTCTTATCTCTTTAAGTTCTTAAAGTGAATGGTTGTCTGTCATTTCTGCACTGAGGGAGGAGGGTTGAAGATGTGAAGGAGAACACAAACCCCTCCAAACCTGAGAGGGATTAGGAACTTCAGAGGAATGGGGCTAATGGAGGAATGAGGACGGAGACAAAGAATGGAGCACTAATTGTGTGTGTGTGTGTGTGTGTCAGGTTTTGACTACTTTGTGGGGACTAAATGTCCTCACAAGGACAGTAAAACAGAAAATTAGCAAGACCAGCACTCTACATGACCGGTTTAAATGGTTTCTGCGAGGTTTAGTTTTAGGACACAGAAAATGTAATTAGATCAACATTAAGAAACAATGTGAGTGGGGGAAAAAATCACCATGAAAGAAAAACAAACATGTGAGTGTACGGAAAACACCTAAGCAATCAAGTCGTGCACTGTAGGAATGCTTGTACATTATACATGATATTACCAGTGGAAAAACTTAGAATGTCAATAAAGAATCAAGTCAGAAGCAAATGTTATTGATCATAATAGGTTGTATGCTGTGAATGCTGACTTGCCAATTTATTTTGCACATAATTTGTGTAGTGTTGATGAAGAATAGCAATAAATCCAGCAGAAAACACTAATAATTTAGCTTATAGGCTTGTGCAAACAAACTATGTTTTCCATGGCTTTCAAATGCAGCAGGAAATACTGTAAAAATATTTTTTGGAAGTTGTAAATAAAAATATTATAGCAGGAAATTTTACAAGAGAAAATTATTTCAGATTTTAAAATGTCATGTTTATTTCAATATGTTACTTGCTGTTTCTTTGTCATTTTTTGTCGCATTTAGCCATTTCTAAGTTAATTGTTTCTTAACCAAATTGTATTCAGTGTACACACAAAGCATCAGGTATACACCTATACATGCACATCGTTTACACCTATTCCATTAGCTGTTGTGGAAAAGGTAAAAAGATACAAAATTGCCCTATTGTATTTATACCAAAGCCAAACATAACGTTGTGATTAAATGATGGGAAAAAATGGAAACTGGTTGTTGAAAATGGTAATACATGCATCTGTATGTGGGTGTTCTTCTGTTTACACATAATTATGGAGTGCCAAAACTGGCAGTTAATAATAAGGGTAATTAACAGATGCTAAGATATACAGCAGGCAGGCAGACATTAAAAAGACTAACTGCTTTAGCTATTGCCTGAATACAAAGATTTTTCTTCTCTGGTACCATAACACGTTTCCTATCTGTATCCACAAAAACACATCACCAAAGCCTGCTTCAAAGATACAAAACATGAAATATTAAATAAAAAAACCCCTGATAAATAGCTTATATTAAAATTCTATATTAGTTCTAAAAAGAAAGAAAAATAGAATGAATGAACGAATAAATTAACTTTCAAATGTGTGGTGTCAGCAAGATTTCTTTTTGGAAAATGTATACTTTTATTCAGAAAGAATGCATTAAATTTATCAAAAGTTACACAAATCAATTCTAATATATCTATTCAAAGTAATTCACAATATTCAGAAAGAATGCATTAAATTTATCAAAAGTTACAGAAATCAATTCTAAAATATATATTCAAAGTAATTCACAAATTAGTATTATTCAGATATCAATTTTGGTTAATTTATTTTGTCAGCTGCATGAATCTTGCTACAATAATATGTCAAAGTGATACAAATTAAGTACTGATTTTTGTTCTGAATATCATAGAAGATAATATATTGTTTTTCTTGCATTCGAATAAT